GGGCAATGTTAAAATATATACACAGATAATAATTTAATAAAATAAATAAATAAATAAATAGAAAAATGAGAAGTCAGAATGCATGCTATTGATGGACCCATTTCCCTAGATAATATGCTACAAGTCATTAATGCAAACTACTGGCATAGATAATAAAAAAAAGAACGTGAAATTAAAAAAAAATATATCTTGGCATTTACACTCTCAGTTCAGGGAAACAAATCACAGACAAAGACCTGCTTCCCACTGTGGGTTTGGCTACTTTTTTTTTTTTAATATATATTTTTTCATTGATTTTTTACAGAGAGGAAGGAAGAGGGATAGAGAGCTAGAAACGTCGATGAGAGAGAAACATCGACCAGCTGCCTCTTGCACATCCCTTACCGGGGGATCTGCCTGCAGCCAAGGTCCATGCCCCTGACCGGAATCTAACCCGGGACCTTTCAGTCCACAGGCCAACACTCTATCCATTGAGCCAAACCGGTTTCAGCGGGTTTGGCTACTTTTGAGTTACGTGACTGATAAAGATAAAACAGCAAGTTGTGTTTTCTCGGAGTCTCTCTGCCTCTTTTGCTGGCTCAAGGTGAATTTTTACAAGCCGTTCGGTCTCATCCATTTAGTATTTCAAAGAGAAGGACATTTATAAGGGGTGCTCTTTTTTTTTTTTTTTTTATGCAGGTGCTAGAATTTTTATTTTCCCAGAAGTTACTAAGCAAACTTGAGAATCCTGGCAGACACTTTAGCCTTTATGTTCTTTCCTCCCCCATCCCCATGGCCTGCCCAGATGCACTGCATTTTGTAACTTAGGTTTGAGTCCCCCAGCCTGCATTTATCTCCAGCAATAAAAATGAGCCATGCCTTAATCAAAAACAAGCTGCAAAACCTCAAATCTGTACACTCAAAGCATTCTAAAAAAGCAACCAAAGACAATAAAAAACAAAAAAATCCACATTTAAGATGTCTTCAGCCAATGAATTGTGGGAGAGGGATGAGCATCTCATACTCGTTGTCACTAATGAGTCAGCCACAGGGATTTCCAGTGCATCAAAAAGTGAAGAGCCGAGACCGGCTTGGCTCAATGGATAGAGCGTCGGCTTGGGGACTGAAAGGTCCGGGATTGGATTCCGGCCAAGGGCATGTACCTTGGTTGCGGGCATATCCCCAGTGGGGGGTGTGCAAGAGGCAGCTGGTCGATGACTCTCTCTCATCGATGTTTCTAAGTATCTCTCTCCCTTCCTCTCTGTACAAAATCAATAAAATATATTATTAAAAAAAAAAAAGAAGAAGAAGAAGAAGTAAAGAGATGCCCGGCTGGTGTGCTCAGGGGTTGAACATCAACCTACGAACCAGGAGGTTATGGTTCAATTCCCAGTCAGAGCACATGCACGGTTGGGGGCTCAATCCCCAGTGTGAGGCATGCAGGAGGCACTCAGTCAATGACTCTCTCATCAATGATGCCTCTCTCTCTCTCTCTCTCTCTCTCTCTCTCTCTCTCTCTCTCTCCGCCCCCCACCTCACCCTTCCTCTCTGAAATCAATAAATATATATATATGTATTTTTTAAATCTCCTGGGAAAGAAAATATACAGCCCTGAGCCCCAATTCAGAACTACTGAATCAGATTCTCCAAAGGAGGGGAATCTGTATTTTTAAAAATATAAACAAACAAACAAACAAATAGTGAAGAGGCATCTTAGACTAGAAATGGAACTTGTTTGCCTGAACTTGCCCCTGGCTGCTGGGCACCAGTTTCCCTCTGGCCGGGACCCAAGCTTCCTCCCAGTCCTGGCTTCGTCTGTAAGATCATATAGTCTAATTAGCACATTATGCTTTTATTATTATAGATTGTGCACTTACACCGGCCCGGAATGATGTAGGCCCTGAGGATATAGCAATCAACAAACCAAAGCCTCCTCTCTCATGGAACTCAACTTTGAGTGGTTGGAAAAGAGAGATAAATAGATAAGTCACTTGGGGAGGAGTGAGCCCCTCAAGGCCATGTCTGATCACGGGTAATGGCAGAGCTCGTGTGGGGAGGAGCGGAACGGTTCAGAACAGGAAGAGCTGTGGAGAACCCCAGAGAAGGTGGGGAACAGGCACCCGGTGTCACAGATGGTTTCCATGCACTAAATAGGAAGAGAATTATTATGTAAAGAAAGCTATGCGCCAAGACGTGCTTCTAAAGTTTTGTCTAGAAGTTTCCTTCATTTTTATATTTTCCTGGGCTACAAACACCAACCTAGCTTTCTCCATCTCAGTCCCACCAGGTGGGTGAAGCTTTTTTACATTTTCTTTTAATAATGCCATTATTCATCTCTTTGTCATAGATCACTTTAGTGGTGAACTTCAGTTTCCTAGAGGCTTTGGAAATTCACAATATTCATGAGATCAGTGATTTAAAATCTAACCCAGCTCAAATCACTCAAGGATGGTAGAAAAGATAGCCAATTTCAGAATTATAAGAAAAACATGCCATGCCATAATGTGTGATTAAATTATAACATAGAACATCCATATATATAAAACCCTAATATGCAAATAGACCAAACGGCATAACAAATGAATAACCGGTTGCTATGATGTGCACTGGCCACCAGTGGGCACACACAAAACATGGTGGGTGTCAGCCATGGTGGGATGGTGGAGCAGATGAGCCAGGGTACCAAACCAAGGCTGGATGCCTGTCAGTCGCTGTCATCAGGTGGCTACTGAAAATTCTTTGTTCTCATACACCCCAGTCATGCTTGGTACTTGCACCCACTGCAGGGAGCTGCCAGACCCGGTCACCCTCAGGGCTTCTCCACCTCCTCCTGCTCCTGAGGGGTGATCAGGGCTGGCAGCCGCCTCCCGCACCCACTGCCGGCAACAGCCCTGCTCTCACCCGCTTCTGGTGCCAGAGCCATCACTTGCACCCGCTGCCAGCACTTGGACCGATCCTGATCACCCAGTGTATGAGCAGTGGCTGCCGGCTCTGATCACCCCTGAGGGCTTCTCCTGAGGGGCAATGGGGCAACAGCCAACACTCGCACACAGTGCTGGTGCCAGCCCCAATCACTCTGCATGTGCCGGTAGTGTGTGGGAGTGACAGCAGGAGCAGGGCTGCTGACAGAAAGGGGACCCAGGGCTGTGGCAGGAGGGGCTGGGCATGGGCACGGAGGATGGGCCAAGACATGCCCCTGTGCCCACCACAGCCTTGCAGCCCACAGTTCCTTTCAAGGTACACAAATTCATGCAATAGGCCCCTAATATAATTATCATATAGAATAAAGATGTAATATGCAAATGGCCATTACACCGTGAAGCAGGTGGGTGGGTGGGGCAGAGAGCTACAAGCAGGCAGCGGAGAGCTACAGGAGGGGGCAGGACAGCAAGCTATAAGGGAGGGGTGGAGGGGCGTGGGAGGAGCTACAGGAGGGTGGGGCAGCAGGGGAAGAGCTACAGGAGGGTGGCAGCAAGCTACTAGCGAGCTACTGGTGCACAGATTCATGTGCAGGGCTACTAGTAATTAATATAATACGTAAATTCATAACATAAAATTTTACCTTGAAAGTCTATGTGAAACTCTATAATTATCATTTTTTATACAGTTTGAATTTCAGAAAAAAATACAATTTTAAAGGGTCCTAGGACCCTCCTCCTCTCCTTCTTCAGGACATTAGTGGTCTCTTATAACCTCTACCTTTGGTGCTCTCTCTCTCTCGCTCTCTCTCTCTCTCTTTAATAAATTTTTATTGATTTCAGAGAAGAAGGAAGAGGGAGAGATAGGAACATCAATGATGATAATCATTGATTGGCCACCTCCTGCACGCCCCCTACTGGGAATCGAGCCTGTAACCTGGGCATGTGCCCAGACAGGAGTTGAACCTCAACCTCCTGGTTCATAGGTTTATGCTCAACCACTGAGCCATGCCAGCCGGGCAGAGTCCTCCCATTTTATTTCAGTTTTGGTGTAGACCTGCCAGGTCTAGTATTCCAAGGTAAAACATGTTCTGAAGAACTTTGTATGACAATTCTCACAATACAAAAAGTGTGATTTTAAAACAATTTGGTTGATAGTAACATGTGAATCACTTGGAGTCATTTTTGCATTGGTCTACTTGGGAACCATACATAGATCTGCATGGAGCACATATAATCCCCAAATTCAAACTGGCCACAAAATAGAAAAATTGAAAGCAGGGACTCAGACTGATATGGGGGGGGGGGGGCGGTGTAATTTGTTTTTCTAATCTTTATTGTTGAAAGTATTACATAGGTCTCCCTTTTTTCCCCCATTGACCCCTTCTAGCCCGCCCCCAACCGAGCTCAGTTTCTAGGTACTTTATGTCAGTAAATCTCCAAATAAACTCGTGATCATTCCCTACAAGTCTGGGTCTCTCTGTAGCTTATCTCAGTGAATGACACTAGCGTTTAACCCTTTCAAAAACCACAGGCTTTTGAGAAATTTTTTTTTAATATCTTTTTTATTGATTTTTTACAGAGAGGAAGGGAGAGAGATAGAGAGCTAGAAATGTCCGTGAGAGAGAAACATCGACCAGCTGCCTCTCGCACACCCCCCACTTGGGATGTGCTCGCAACCAATGTATAATACATGCCCTTGACCAGAATCGAACCCGGGACCCTTCAGTTCGCAGACCGACGCTCTACCACTTAGCCAAACCGGTTTCGGCGCTTTTGAGAAATTTTTGACACCCCCTCTCACCAGTCCGCTCCCACCCATTTCCAATCCATCACCAAACCCTGTTGGTTTCATCTCCTAGATATGTCCATCCACCCTCTTCTCCACCACCACGCTAGTTCAGGTCACCACTGCCTCCACCTGGACTGTTGCATAATCTCCTACACTTATCCCTCAGTTCAGCCTGGCACCAACCCCAAATAGAAAATTTGATTACCTCTCTTCTCTGAAGCCCGCTCAAGTCTTCTGCATTGAGATACATGACATCAGCATTCGCCCTTTTATCCACGCCCCCTCGTCTAACCCAGCAGCAATTTCTTTTCTTTTTTTAAATGCAACATGCAAACTTTATTAAACAAAAGTAACAGGTAAAGTCAAACAGGCACTTATATTTAAGAGAAAAAGTAACTAGGAGAAATTTTATCTTAAAACACCCTACAGTAACCTACTTGTAGTTGCATTTAACTGAGCTCTGTTGCTGTGAAGAATACAGCTCATGCGCAGGTATGGATGAATGATTTGTACATTTTCAAGTATTCACTGAATACTACTTATATACACATATACATTAAATTTGAAAAAGATTTAATTAACGATCCCCAATATCTTCATTTTTGTTGATCTTTTGGAAGAGGTCGTCGAAAGAGAAGAATATGTGGTTCTGGCTCATGAATGATGTAATGAACCCAGCCAAGACTCTGTTGGACACCAAGTCTCCTCCATTCCTCTTCTGACATCAGATGGGTTTCGGGGACTTGTTTGGAAAGTTCTCTGGGTAATATGACATGCCAGTACTCGTAGTGCTCGTCGAAGTACTTGTCTGAGTAGTAGATCTGCTTGTGGGCCATCCTGCCAGCCAGCAAAAGCTAAGAAAAGCCTGCCTCTCCCTTCAGTCGACGCTGACTCCTTTTTTCAGACTCAGCCCACCTGCCCCCAGGCGCTTGAAATAAAAGTTCTTTTGATACATGATGGCCTCATGTCATCAGTGTGAGACCCACTCTGAACCTTTCACACATCACACCATTTCCACGGTTAGCGCACTAGCCTGCCATCTCCCGCCTGGTTCACCATGGTCCCCTCCCAAGTGGTCTCTCTGCTGCCGCCCTGTCCTTCCCCCTCCCCCTGGCATCATTCTGGTTTCCTGAGACATCAATCAATCCCATCATGTCCCTGTAGAAGGGCCTCCAACGGCCTCTCACTGTACTTAGGACAAAATCCGGTTCTTTAGCGTGGCCTCTGTTTTCAAAAATAAAACAGTCAGCGGTTTTACCAGTAAGCATGGGTTTATTTGGGAACAAAACAGAATTGCAATTCAGGACAAGCAAGCGACAGCAAAAGCCATAGGTAAGTCCAATGAACAAAGGAGAAAAAGGTTATTTTATGGAGAAAAGGAAGACAGTGGGGAGGGGGCTGTTCTTGCAGAAAGTCCATTGGAGAAAACAGATATCAGGGACGTGGTGGTTTCTCGTTGGCCGAGTTGCTGGGGTTGTCAAGTTCTTGTAGGAGATGCCGTGTCCATCATTTCCTGTTGGGGTCTATCATTGATCATTTTTTTGTTGTTAACTATTCTTCTATTGTATTGCAGAGTGTGACAATTCTTCTTGCAATTGGCATGAAGTGGCACTGTGTGAGAGCGCCCCCTTCTGGCCTCTGGCCTCCATGTTAGCGAAGTTTCCCTTCATTAGTGTTCACACAATTCAAGGTGTGACCTGCCTGTGTCTTCCACCTCTCCCCCTCCCTCAGGCCGTCCCGGCTGCTTTTCCTCAAACACTCCAAGCCCCTTCCGACCTCAGGACGTCTGAGCTACAACCTGACGGGTTTGGGTGCAGAGGACAGAAAACAGCCTCCAGCGGGTTTAAACAGGAAGGAACGTTCCTGTTATGTGTTGTAAGTAATCCGGAGATGTGAGAGAAACAAATTTAAGGTTGGGCTTTCAGGAATAACTCCTAAAATCACACCACAGAAGAGTCTACTGAGGAGGCTGCCCTGGCTGGAAACCCTCACTGCCCGGGAGGGGGGGGGGGGGGGGGGGAAGGATGGGGGGGAGCCCCGAGGAGCCGGAGGCCCTGCTGCAGCCACGCAGAGCCACACCTGCCACAACCCAGGGGCACGGGCCGCGGACGCACCGCCAGCCCCGCCCCTTACGCTTCCGAACCCGGTGCTCACACTCTGTTAATGGCCACAGGGAAAAAAAAAAAATCCTGAAGATAATATTTATCTTCACAAACTCACACCTTCCAAAGGTCACTAAGTTTCTCAATTGGCTGAACCTAAGTCACACCCAAAACTCTAGCTCTAACTGAAAGGGAGTCTGGGACATACAGTTTCCGCTTTCTACCCCTGCTGGCAGGCCCAGAGAGGAGGGGTGAATGGATCTTGAGTGGCAATCCATCATATTCATCACCACGTGATGAATTCATCACCACATGCATGCATGTGTGTGTTTGTATGCACACGTGTGCCCGCACATATGTATATGCACTATGTACATGTTTGCATGTCTCTGCTTTTGTGCTTGTGGGTCACATGTGCACACACGTGATGGGGGGAATTGAGGGATTAATAGGCCATTATTACAGCAGGGAGTTTGGGGAGATCTGGGGTACATAAGAGATCAACCGAAGGACTTGAATACATGCATATAAGTACAACCAATGGACACAAAACTCTGGAGAGGGAGGGCATGTATGGGAAGGGGGCACAATGGTATATGTACAAAGATAATAATTTAATAAAAAAAAATAAAAAAAAAAACAACAGACACTTCCTCTGTGTGGACAGGACCAGAGCTCACAGAGCCATTCAACCAAGAGGGGAAAGCAGCTGTACCAGTTCAACAGTCTTATCTTCCCAGAGGGAAAAGTAAGGCAGGAGGGATTATGTCCCCTGTTCAGCAACACACTGCAAGGCAAGACATTGGTCTAAGCCCAGCCAGGCCCCCTAGGGGTAAGGTCCATGTTTTCCACTTGATATGTAACCAGGCTCCCAGGGCGGGTTGTACACGAGGGATCCGCCCACGCTAGGCAGCCGCCCTCTGCCTGCTCCCACGTTCTTCATAGCGGCAATCATTGACAGACGCCTGCTCTGTGCCAGGCGGTGTGGCAGGGGGAGGTGGGTGAACACACAGCTATGAGTCCTCCCCTCCAGGAATGCCGTGCCATGTGGGGGAGTCGGGTACATAACCTCAACAGAGTCCGGAGCCTAACAGGAGGGATAGGGCGCTGAGGAGACATCCTAACTGTTGTCAATAAGGAAATTGAGACTCAGTAAGGACCCTGGCCTGGCCAAGGCCTCACAGCCCATAAATGGCCGAGCCCAGAATTTGAACCCACTATATTTGAACCCAAACCCATGCTTTTATTTATTTTTAATATATTTTTATTGATTTTTTACAAAGAGGAAGAGAGAGGGATAGAGAGTTAGAAACATCAATGAGAGAGAATCATCCATCAGCTGCCTCTTGCACACCCCCTACTGGGGATGTGCCTGCAACCAAGGTACCTGCCCTTGACCGGAATCGAACCCGGGACCTTTTAGTCTGCAGGCCAACGCTCTATCCACTGAGCCAAACCGGGTTCAGCCCAAGCCCATGCTTTTAAATATAGGAGGCAGGATAGCAGAGTGTGCACTTAGGTGTCATCCAGACCGGTGTCCAAATCCTAGGCTCAACTCCTTACTACTGTGTGCCTTAGGTGAGCTACCAACCTCTCCTTGCTTTGGGGTTCTCTCCATAAGATGAAGCCATGAATGTCTTCCTGTGTAAAGGTGGGAGGGTTAGGTCAATAACGCATGGAAAATGCTGAGCCAGTGCTGGCACCTAAGGAATGTTAGCTCTGGTTACCCTAGGCTCTCGGCCTGCCAGCCCCAGACCCCTCCGGGCAGAGGTCAAGTGGCTTCCCTAGAATCTTCCAACGTGCAGAAGTCACATCTCCCTTCCAGGCTGACCTTGACACAGGGAAGAAGTTAATAGTTACCAGCAGCTGGAGATGGGGGAATGGGGAGACCTTAGTCAAAGGGTATAAACTTCCAGTTATAAAAGATTAAGAAGGTTGAGCCCTAGCCATTTGGCTCAGTGGATAGAGCGTCAGCCTGCGGACTGAAGGGTCCTGGGTTTGATTTTGGTCAAGGGCATGTATCTTGGTTGCAGGTCCTCTGGTCCCGGTCGGGGTGTGTGCAGGAGGCAACCAATCAATGTGTCTCTCTCACTTCAGTGTTTTTCTCTATCTCTCCCTCTCCCTTCCACGCTCTTTAAAAATCAATGGAAAAATATCCTCGGGTAAGGATCAACAGCACAAAACAAAAAGATTAACAAGGTTGAAAACCTAAAGTACAAGATAGTGATTATAGCTAATAATATTGTGTCATATACTTGAAAGTTGCTAAGAGAGATGTTAAATGTTCTCTCCACACACCAAAATGGTAAGCATGTGATGGGATGGAGATGGTAGCTAAACTATGGTAGTAATCACTTGGCAATTTATAAATGTGTCACATCAACAGATTGCAAACCTGAAATTTATACATTATGCATCAATTATATCTCAATAAAGCTTGGTGCAGGGGTCAAATTTAACCTTGCCAGAGAGAGGTCTGACCTTTGCCCTCAGCTCCCAGCAAGGAATCCAAGTAGGAACAATGAAATTTAGGGTGGGGGCTGGCCACAGGAGAAAAACCACCACATGAATTGGGGGGGAGAGAGGATTGGGTCACATGGTATCAGAGACTGAACTCCCTCTTCATGGGAGAGGACAATGGAGGCACAGCTTCTGATGCTTGTGCATCTTCCCCTGGCTGACTGAAATCTCTGTTCTTTCCCCGTAATAAACTGTTAACTGTGGGTGTAACAGCTTTCAGTGAGCTCCATGAGTTCTAGTGACTCACAGAATGTGAGGCGGCTTTGGAAACCTCTGAACTTGAGGTTGGTGTCCGAAGTGAGGGTTCTCTTATGAACTGTGTTCCCTCTAAGTTATACACTTGGGCCCTGCCTGGTTTGGCTCAGTGGATAGAGTGTCGGCTTGCAGACAAAAGGGTGCCAGGTTCGATTCCTGTCAAGGGCATGTACCTCAGTCAGGGCCCGTGCAGGAGGCAACCAATGGATGGGTTTCTCTCACATCAATGTTTCTTTGTCTTTCGCTCTTTCTTCCACTCTAGCTAAAAAAACAATGGAAAAATATCCTCGGGTGAGGATTTTAAAAATAAACTGTACACGTGGCTAAACTCTTGCACTCTGGCACCTTGAACAAATGAGTACATGAGTGGGCTTTCCAGAACTGCTCAAAGTCAAACAAGACTTATCCCAAACCCTGGGCTGTAGGACTCATCATCCCTTCACAGGTAAGGAAGCTGACGCTGAGAGAGGTCGGCAATTGGAGTCAGGCCCGCCACACTCCAGGCTCAGGATCTGACCACCCCCGGCTACTGTCCCCCACTGCCCCCCACCCCAACCTCAAGGTCCTTCCACTCCCCCAAGCCAGGCCTCGCCAGCCTGGGCCTCCTTGGGAAACAGACCAGAAAGAGGCTGAGGCAGACCAGGCTCCCAGCCCCTGAGGCCTTTCAGAGGGCAGTGGGCAGGTCTCAGGCCTCGTCGTGCTCAGCCCGCAGCCTGCCTGACCCCACATCAGGCTGCAAGCTCAGATGTCTTTGTGGGGGACCCAGGTGAGTCCCTTGAAGTGGCCAGTGGAGGAGCGTGGGAACTGGAGTGGATGGAGGGTGTGTTCCATGGCAAGGCACCACAGTCTTTGTGAGGTTCTTGTGTTAAACACAGTGAGGGCCAAAGCAGACAAGCCTTGGGGTCTCTATTGTGTGACCTCTGGGTTCCATATCGGGCCTTCCCACCTCTGCCACTTCACACACACACACACACACACACACACACACACACACCCGGCATGAAGGTCCTGTCCTCTCACTGCAGGGCCTCTCCGTGCAGCTCCCTGCCCCCGCCACTCTCCCACGCTCTCCGCCCCACCTATTCTGCAGGTCTCAGCTTCAAAGCCATTCCTCGCAATTCTCCTCTGACCCAGCACTTTCAGTAAGAGAACCCGGGGCCTCTGGGTCCCAGCACAGGGCTCCTCCCCCTCGTCCTCTGCTATAAACTCTCCAGCCCTGGCTTCCCCGGGGCTGCTCCAGAATCAACTAACATTCATTCGGGTGGCCCGTCTCTCCACTCACCCCTTAGGGAGCACCTTCTTTGTATCGAGCTCTGTTCTAAGCCCCAGGGAAATGATGTACTGTTAATAAGGGGAGGTTCTCACCCTCGTGGCTCTTTGGGATAGTCAGACAATACAGTGATAATCACACACATGGATATGATCATCACATCCTATATAATAATAGCCCAGCAACCAAAATGGCAGAACAACCGGAGACCAGAATGACCATGGCCCATCACCCCAGCCAGCCGCCCCCCAGCAAGCAGTTAGGAGTGATCAGGCAGGCAGAGTGCTTATGGGTGATCAGGCAGGCAGGCAGAGTGATTAGGGGCAATCAGGCAAGTGGTTAGAGGCCAGCGGTCCCAGATTGTGAGAAGGTGCAGGCCAGGATGAGGGACACCCACCTGCCCCTGTGCCAAATTTCGTGCACTGGGCCTCTAATACAGTAATGAAGGCTATGCGGGGACAGAGAGTTCACTTAGAGAAATGGGGGACTTATTTAGACTGGGGGTCAGAGAAGACTGGAGTCAAGGGTTCCATCTTTCTTTTCTCTTAATAAATTTCTTTCTCTGTGTATGTTTTTAATCCACAGTTGGAAATCTATGTATGTGGATTTTCAACAGCAGGTGTGTGTGTGTGTGTGTGTGTGTGTGTGTGTGTGTGTGTCTGTGTAGAAAAATAACAGGAGCCAATGTTTGTTGAATGGTTCCTGTGCACACAGCCTGGAGCAAGGAGCTTTCGTCCCTATAGCAAGCTTATTAGTACAATTGACCTTGAACCACACAGGGGTTAGGGGCATCCCACGTGGCCTCTGAGGTTCAGCAGGATCCTGGCCTCTCCTGAGCATGCTCTTCCTCATTCCCCACGGCAACTGGCCCCGAGCAGGTGCCTAGACCAGCGGGTGCCAACCTTTCAGACCTTACAGACCACCAGTGGTCTGTGGACCACCGGTTGGCAACCGCTGGTCTAGATTATGGCAGGAAAAAGGGGGGATGGTGATAACTTGAGGCAGGCCAGAGGTGGCAGAACCTCAGGGCAGACACTGGCAAGGCCCTGAAGACAGCCCTCTCAGCCACCTCCCACGGCCCCCGCTCCACCCGACTCTGGCCTCCCCACGCCTCCTCATGTGGGCACTGCTCCAGGCCCGTTTCCTGACCCCAAGAGTCTCTTTGTTCAAAGCCCCTCCTTCCTCTATAGCCCCCATCCCCCGGCTCCCCGTGACCCAGAGAACATGGCCCAGGCCCCTCGGTCTGGCTCTTCTTGGTCTGGCCTCTCAGCCCTGACCTTCTATCCTCAGCCCCCACCCTGACCCCAGAGGGGATGGGCACTGCACTGAGTGCGAGGGGGCAGAGAACACGGGAGGCACACACTCTGGCTTCTTTATTGGGCAAAGTCTTAGAGACTCTGTAAGGCACGGAGTCGAGGAGGGTGACGGGGCGCCCGGGGGGTGTGGTCAGGAATACCAACACCTCAGTGCTGGGCATCCCATCATAGCGCATGCTCCCGCCCTCTGGGCAGCTCTGAGCATCTCCCTCCGCAGGTCCTGCTCCTGGGGAGCCTGGGAACAAAGGGCCCCTCTTCCCCCAAGGAGGGGAGCGTGGGTGATGGGGGGCAGGGGAAAGGGAGAGGAAGTCCCATGGTCTGGGGGAGCAGAGGTGTGAGCTGAGGGGCTCGGATGTGAGCCTGAGCCCCTCATCCCTGGAGGCACTGACAATAAGGCACTCAGCTCGGGGCAAGTGCTGGAGGCGGGGCAGAGTCAGCCGGGCAGGCGGCAGGGCTGTCTCAGCTGAAGTCCCGGTTGGGCAGGAGGAGCGGGGCGACCAGGGTCCACAGGTAGAGCAGCAGCCCGGCCCAGCTAGCACAGATCTTCACCCACACGGCGGTCCAGGTGCTGACCATCTTCCGGGTCTCGCCGGGCCTGCAACACACCAGCATGCCAGTGAGCCTGGCCCAGGCTTGTGACTCAGCCCTGGCCTGACCTTACGGTCCAGCTGTGACTCCTGACTTCACCTTTGACTCTTCTTCTGTAACTCTAGTCCCGCCTCTGGTATTTTTGGCACATGGTCTTACGTCTCTAGACACAGCTCCTGACCTTGTACCACAGACCTGATCCTGACCTCAGTTCCAATCTTGACCTCAGTCCTAGACTAATATAGTGACCTGACCCCTGGAGCTCCAGACCTTAGTCCTGACCTCTAACCTTGACCCTGACACTCAATCCTGTAACCCCACCCTTGACCCCTGATTTTATGACCACAGTTTTGATATCTGACCTCAATTCTGACCCTGGGCCCCGTGACCACAGTCCCGGCCCTTGACCTTGTTACTCTTATCTTCGCTCCTTGACTTGTCTTTCTAGCCCACTAACCCCATTTTTAATCAAATGGCCAAATTTGTGACTTTCCATGGCCCCAATCCCAACTCTTGACTCCATTACTCCTACTCTAACCCTGTGACTTGGATTCTGACATCCACCTCTAACCCTAACCCTCCAACCGTGAGTCCTAGGTCTGACCCCTCAATCCAATTTACCACACCGACCTGTAAGCCTGATCTGCCCGCCAAGGCCCAGCCCCACCTCCCGGGACCTCCGCTTTTCAGTGGAGGTACAGGAGCTGAGCAGTGTGAGGCACCGGCGGGGAAACTGGGTCGCGGATGGGGCAGGCGCCATGGAGGGTCCTGGAGAGATGCCTCCATGCCCAAGTCTTGAGCAGGTTTTCCTTATGCTCAGTGAGGGGCTGAAGGAGGGGAGCCGTGTGGCCAGGCCCCGCGGGCTCTGCCTGCACGCACCTGTACCAGTTGGTGAGCGTCATCATGATGTGCAAGGAGGCGAGCACCAGGCAGAAGTGGAAGAAGGAGTAGCTGTAGGTGACGCCGTCCTGCTCGTTGTCGAAGGCCTGGCCTGCCGCCCGCTGCTGCGCCGTGCCCTCCAGGATGGGCGGGCACTCCTCCGTCCGCATCAGGCTGTTCACCTGCTGGTGGTTCGAGGAGCGCACGCTGCAGGGGAGGGAGGAGGCGGGCAGGTGGGCAGTGCCAGGGGGTCGTAACAACAGGCATGATGGTCCCAGAGCCTTGAGGGCCCGGGATCTGGCGCTTAGGTCCTGGGACCAGGAGTTCACAAACCGCTTTGATTCTCAACTCGGGCCCCCAGCCCCTGTGTGAACTTGGGCAAGGCACCCTCACTGAGCCTCTGATTCCTTGTCTATAAAATCAGGGACAGCAGTACCCGCCTCACAGTGCTGCTGGGAGGACGGAATGGAATGATGGTGTAAAGTCCCTCGCACTGTGCCTGGAACAACATAAATACATAAACTGCCTCTGTTATTCTGTTGGTTCGATTGCCATTTCCTTTAACATGTACTGAGCATTTAGTGCTGCAAAGCATCATGCCAGGTCCTACATTTATTAATAATGTTAATAATTAACCATGCTGCCAAAACCGGTTTGGCTCAGTGGATAAAGTATTAGTCTGCAGACTTGGGGGTCCCTGGTTTGATTCCGATCAAGGGCACGTGCATTGGTTGCAGGCACATCTTGGGGGGGGAGGGAAGGGTGCAGGAGGCAGCTGGTCGAGGGTTCTCTCTCATCGGTTTCCAGCTCTCTATCCCTCTCCCTTCCTCTATGTAAAAAATCAATAAAATATTAATAATAATAATAATAAAAATAAAAATTAAACATGCTTACTTGCTATTAAGTTTGTTTTCCTTTTATAATTGTTAGGTAAGTGGCTTCACCAATTACCTCCCCTTTCTTCATGTTTATAATTTTAAAAATAATAATAGCAATGATTTTTCGGTCATTGCTTTTCTATAATGTGGTCTTGACGTTTTTAACAGTAATACTAGCCTGAGACATACAGACAATTTTGAAAATCTAATGGTATTTTGGGGGAAAAGCGAAAGGAGACCTGGGTTCCAGCCACACCTCAAACTGAGGTCACCCTTCGCCGAGCTGCAGCTGGCCCCCCAACCACTGCCAACTAACTGCACACAAACGCCCACATGGTGGGATCGAGCTGGGGTGAAAGCCATCATGGTCCCTGCTTCCTGGCTGCTGGTGCTTCTTTGCTTCCTGTGTGTGTTTTCTTTTTCATTACTGCTTTTAAAATATATATATATGTATGTCTTTACTGATTTCAGAGAGGAAGGGAGAGAGAGAAATATCAATGAGGAGAGAGAATCTCTGATCAGCTGCCTCCTGGGCGGGCATGGGCCCTGTCTGGGAATCAAACCCCAACCTCCTGGTTCATATGTCACCGCTTAACAACTGAACCACGCTGGCCAGGCACTTCCTGTGTTTTGAGAGCTAAGAACACAGCCCCCCTGGTTCTCAGAGGAGCTGCCCAGTGCCCGCAGGCCAGGGAGGTCTGAGTGGGAGAAGCTCGAAGAAGCCAGCTACCCTGATGGGCTGGGGAGGGCGTGTGCTCAAGCCCCACGACCACTGTGTGCTCACCGCCTCAGACAAGCGGCTGCCCAACACGGAGTCTTGGTTTCCTCTAAAATGGACCTGGCTGGTTTGGCTCAGTGGATAGAGCGATGGCCTGCGGACTGAAGGGTCCTGGGTTCGATTCCGGTCAGGGGCACATGCCTGGGTTGCGGGCCCAATCCCCAGTAGGGATGTGGCAGGAGGCAGCCAATCGATGATTCTCTCTCATCACTGATGTTTCTATCTCTCTCTCCTTCTCCCTCTCTGAAATCAATAAAAAAATATTTTTTTAAATGGGCGTGACAGGGGCCTTTCCAGATTAGAAAAGGAAACAAATGAGGTGACAAAGACGAGAGATGTTTATAAACTGCCCAAACATGACTCTGAAAGAGGGCATTGTGAACCGGCCTCAGAAAGTGCTAGCCGGGGGCCTGGCGGGGTGTGGCCAGAGGCTGCCTCCAGGGAGGAAAGGGCAGGCAGAGGAAGTGGCGCATGGAGAAACGCTGGCCCCAGCACCAGCGCTGAGTCTGCCAGGTTCCGGTAAACACAGCTACACTGGAGCTCGCCATCTAGTGACTCGTACCAAACAGCCACCAGCTGTGCAAACCTTCCACGTTACTGGTCATAACAGCAAACATTTATTTGGTGCCTTTTACTTGCCAAGTTCTTTTCTAAGTGCCTCCCACATACTCACTCTCCCATAACCCTACAACAATCTACTGAGGTAGGCACTGTTTTTATTTCTATTTTCCAGACAAGGAAGCTGAGGCACAGAAAGGTTAAGGGACTCTTCCGAAATCACACTGCCAGTCAGTGCCAGTGCCGGGCTCAGACGCAGGCGGCCCGGGCTCCAGAGTTCACCCCGATAAGCACTGGCTAAGATGCCCCTTTCGAACAAGTTGTCATGTGATCTTAGGTAGGAGCTGCTCCCTCTCAGTGAGACGTGGGGTCCCAGCCACCCTGGGCCTTAGAGGCTAACGTTACCCTTTTACCGAGGGGGAAACGGAAGCTCGGGAAGGGAAAGCCACTTACCCCAAGGCCACAGCAGGTGAGTGACAGACGGACCCACTGGCCCAGTTCAGGCTCTTTCACTGACCTCACAGTTGCCTGCAACCAACTGAGCTGGCACGTGGCAGCCCCGTGTGCAGGAAAGGGCCCGGGGCCAGGAGGTGGGGTTCAGCCCCGCCTCGGCTGCCAGTCACACTGTGCCCTCTGAGCGACTCAGTTTCCCCATCGTGCAAGGGCCGGACATGCTGCCTCCAGCCTGGCGTCCCGGCTCCCACATCCTCCCCTCTCTTCCGGCTCTGGGCCCCCCAATCATGATCCCTCCCCGGAACCCAGACCCCGGCCTACCTGATGAACAAGGTGCACAGGATGAAGACAATGAGGCCCACGATGCTCGGCGCGTCCCACCACTGGGTCACGTAGCCCTCAGGCCCTGCCAGGATCGTCCCGTTGTCCAGGGAGGTCAGCAGGTGTGGGTTGCATTTCTCGTCTGGGGACAGGAGCAGGGTCCCCCTCAGCCCGTGCAGGCCAGGTCTGAGGAGCCCATTAGCCCAGAGGATGGGCAGAGAGCCAACCCAAATGGACAGACAGACACGGAACCCACCATCCAAGTCCCAGCGTCAGATGGCACTTAGCAGACAGAACGACAAACAGCTCCAGGAACAGATGGGGCCCTCCCACTAGGCTTGGGCTGGGATGTCCCTGTCATCTGTAAGAGTCCCCAGTCCTCCCCCCAACCCCACAGAGGGCCTTACTAGTCTAAGAACAAGCCCAGGCCTCCTCAAACCCAGGCCCAGACTCACCGGGCACATTGGACAGCGCCAGCCAGGTGATGAACATGGTGTAGAGCGTGATGACGGAGGCCTGCAGCAGACCCGAGTTGGGCTGGGCTTCCTGGTGAGAGCAGCTCATCAGCATGAGCCCTGCCAGGCCTGGGGACCCCCACCCTGCTCACCCACTCACCCTCCACCAGGGAACCTCAGAAACCCTCCCCGCCCTAGGGCCCTCCCTCCCCTTCCCCACACCGCCCAAGCCACCTACCACTTACCTCGCCCACCCAAAGGGGGAGTCCTAATGCTTTCCCCTAACAGATCACGCCCTTGCTCCCCCGCTGAGAACTGTGCAAGGGGGGCGTCCCTGCACGCTCTGGATCAAAGCCCTCCCTGGCCGGTCCCACCTTCACCTCTGCCTGATCCCCCTGCCCTGCTCCTTCCTGCGGACCACACCCCAGCCACTGTGGCCTCCTCCTGCCTGTGCCCTCTCCCTGACATCTTCCTTCCCGGACCTCTGCACGGGCAGCCCCTCGTTAGCTCTCAGACCTCGGCTCAAACAGGATGCAACAAGGCCCTGAAAATCCTGCCTACAGCACCCCTGGCCCTGCCTACCTTCAACCCACTACCCGCTTACTCCCCTCAAAGCACACATCCAAAACGACCTTACTTTGCCTAGTCTGTTACTTATTCTTTCCCACCCTTCACTATTTTAATTATCCTTCCTCCTCTTCCTCACAGCTGTATGCCCGACATCTAGAGGGACACGTGATACACAGTGAGTGCTCAGGAGGTGTTTGCTGCGTGAATACCGATTGCTGTGTGACCTGGGGCAGAGGCATCACCCTCCCTGGGCTTCAGTTCTCTGAATGGGAAATGCAGACTCTGACCAGAAAGTTCCCAAACTTTCTGCTAACGACCCCCAAAAGCTACCTAAGCTTCCTTTGGATCCCCTGCTGGGCTGAGGTCCCACATTGGGAAGTACCACTGGGCTCAGAAGGCTTTTTTTCTGAAGAACAATTACTTGGGAACCCCCATTCATTACCCCAGACCAGTGGTCGGCAAACTGCAGCTTGCGAGCCACATGCGGCTCTTTGGCCCCTTGAGTTTTAGCAAAGGCCAGCTTATGAGTACCCCAATTAAGTTAATAACAATGTACCTACCTATATAGTTTAAGTTTTAAAAAATGTGGCACTCAAAAGAAATTTCAACCGTACTGTTGATATTTGGCTCTGTTGACTAACGAGTTTGCCGACCATTGTCCCAGACGGTCTGCGATTAGAAACTGGAATTGCACCTCCTAGCACTACTAAGTCTTGAGGTGTCTAAGGATCATTGCTCGAGGATGTTCTCCCAATTCACATAAAAAAACAATGCCAGCGCCAATAATGATAACAATAGCCAATGCCTGATGCATGTCTCTGTGCCTGGCACTGTTCTATGTGTTCACAAACATGATCTCAATCCTCCACATGGCAGGTATTATTAGCCCCCTTTTATAATTGAGAAGAGAGAGGCAGGGAGGTGAAGGCACCTTCCCACAGGCACCTAAAATGTAGATGTGAGAGCCAAGACTCGAACCCAGGGAGGCTGACTGGGGAGCCCACACTCAGCCCACGGCTCTGTGGCCACCAGCCCTGCCCAGGGTGCCAAGGACGTCCCACACACCAGCGGGCCTGGCCTCCGGCCGGGCGGAGCAGCCAGCTCACCTGGACCTTGGGCAGGACGGAGATGATGGAGACGCAGATGCAGAGCGTGAGGTTGAGGCTGATGAAGACCTTGCCCTCGTGGCAGGCGTCGGGCTCGGTGTAGTAGACGAAGAGCAGGGCCACGGCCACAATGGACAGTGAGTAGAAGAGGAAGGTGCAGAAGAAGAGGCCTGGGCGGGGCAGCGCGCAGGGGTCAGGAGGTACGGGCACCCCCCTCCCTCCAGGGGCCTTTCGGAGCCAGCCTCCACTTCGTCAGCCAAGGACTGACGTCAGTGTCCCCTAAACTTCCATCACTCCCAGCGCCTCTGGGAGTTGTGGCCCCATCCTGAGCTAGAATGATTCACTATCCATAAGTAAAGTAATCATTAAAATAAATACAATGACCACTCTCAACAATAAAGGTTTTTTTTTAAAGTAATAGTAAATAAATACAAGGAATACAAAACGATTGTTTAAAAAGTGCACTAGGTCCAGCCAGTGTGGCTCAGTGGTTGAGCATCAACCCATGAACCAGAAGGTCACGGTTCCATTCCCGGTCAGGGCACACGCCAGGTTGCAGGCTCGTCCCCAGTGGGGAGCGTGCAGGAGGCAGCCGATCGATTACTCTCTTTCATTCTCTCTCCCCTTTCCTCTCTGAAACCAATGAAAACTTTTTTGTTTTGAGTGAACTATATGTGTGGGATCTGCTGGCGCCTGCTCTGGCTGCCAGAGAGACAGCAAGTTCAGAGAGGCCTGAACACCAACCAGCGCCTCGGTGAGCCTTTCTTTCTGAAGGTTGAGCTGGGACCTTTCTGCCACTGGGTACCAAAGACCAAGAGGTACCTGAAGTTTGACCAGGGCTGGCTGTGCATGGCCCATCCCTCAGGAACCGCTGAACTAGACCCTCCGAGGCCTCCGCAGTTCCTCTCCCATCTGATCCGCTGAAGCTGCCCTGGAATCGGCTGCCCACACACACACACACACACACACACACACACACCCTTCCCTCCCTCTGCCTTGCACAGACCGATTCCTGCAGGAAGGCAGGGCTGCTCGCGACGCCCTCCAGGCATTCATCAAGCTTCGGAGACCCCTGGCACTGACCTGCGTACCAGGCGCGGGAGTCGCACTCCTCGGCCTTGCCCAGCCACTGCTGGTTCCAGGAGTGCGCGAAGTCGATGAGCAGCACCAGCTGGATGAGGATGAAGAGGAAGGAGCCCACGACACCGAAGTAGAACCAGACTGGATGGGGAGAGAAGAGTGAGGGAGCCAGTCTGGCCCTGGGCAGAAGCCTGGGTGCCAGGGCCCCTGACCCACCCGGCTCTCTGGGATTCCTGGGGCAGGCACAGGAATCACACACATGTATTCATTCAGCAATCATTGGTGCCAAGCCCTGCCCCGGGACACTGAGACAAAGCAAAGCCCCTGCTCTCAGAGAGCCCCTAGCCATGCCCCGACATGGGTGAGGGTTAGGCAGGTACCTCCGTCCCCGTCCCCAGAGTTGCCCAAAAGCCCTATGGCCACGCACCATGGCGCTGTCTCCTGACCAGGAGCCGAGGCCCCAGGCGGCAGTCTGTGTGCCAGGGCACAGAGCAGCCCCGCCAGCGCTCCTCCCACTGGGGACCCCCCCATCCCTCCCCACCAAGACGCTTACCGTCGGAGAAGGAGCCATCGGGGATGTAGAAGGCGCCCACGGTGATGCCCACAAAGATCAGGAACTTAAAGAACCAAAACCTACAGGATGGGGATTAGGGCAGACAGGACAATGGAGCAGGGTTAGAGGGACAGATCTGGCCCCCAGATGCTCACCCCTAAAAAGTGAAGAGGGGCTTTCTCATGGGCTTTCTTCCGGTCTGATGGGCACCGGAAATCTGTCCTGGCCCTAGAAAAAGCCCCAAGGGGCAGAGGGAAGGGCCAAGTAGGGGTGAGGGGGCTGGTCACCCAAGTTCTGGCCCCAGCTGCGTCACTAAATGCTGTGTGGCCTGAGCATGTTGCTGCCCTTTCTGAGCTTAATTTCCTCATCTGAGAAACGGGAAACCCTAAATGAGCTGCCTCTGTGCTGTAGGGGCTGGAGATCTCTGGAGACAGGCCGGGGGCAGGGCACCACTGCAGCGGGGACCCGACGGGGTGCAAGGGTCCCCCAGGCACTCACCCGTTCTGGAAGGCGGCCCGGGGGTCCTGGCTGCTGCGCACGTAGATCATGAGCACGGTGAAGAGGAAGAAAAAGGCGGCCGTAGCGAAGCACATGCGGTAGACAGCACGTTGGCCAAGCAGGGAGCCACAGTCGATGTGGCTCTGCATGACGCCAGTGCTCCCAGTCCCTTCATCACACCCCCAAGGCAGCTGCGGAGACAGAGGTGCCATTGACGGCCCCACCCTCCCTGGGGCTGATTCTGCCAAGGCCTGCCCTGAGGAAGCCCTCCCAGCAGGGGCGGGGCCAAAAGGAGGCCCTTCCAGCAGGGGCGGGGCTGGGAGGAGTCTCTCCCATTAGGGGTGGGGCTGGGAGGAGGCTCTCTCATTGGGGGTGGGGCCGGGAGGAGGCCCTCCCAGCAGGGGCGGGGCCAGGAGGAGGCCCTCCCAGCAGGGGCAGGGCTAGGAGGGAGGCCCTCCCATTGGGGGTGGGGCCGGGAGGAGGCCCTCCCAGCATGGAGGAGCTGGGACAGGAGCTGAGCCTCCCAGCACCATCCCCATAGCTACCCACATCTGGGGCTGAAGTCCTAGGTGTGCCCACCCCCACACACAGATGGTCCAGTTACGTCTTGTTACTCTCTGTTTATTTCCCTGTCATCCTGTCCACAGCCTGAGGAACACATGCGCTGTCTAAGGCAGGATTTCCCAAAATGCCTTCCACCCACCACCTACACTGAGAGGGCAGGGCAGGGTGAGGATGACTCCGCCCTGCCCCACAGTGGAGTCCGGAGTCCGGAGTTTATCCTCACCCTGCCAGGGCGGAGTTATCCTCCATTTTGTGTAACTGGACCCTAGCCCTCACCCAACCAATCAGGGTCAGCCAAAGCAGTGACATCACCACGGGTGTAAAACCCCAGGGCGTGGTGAAATTCGTGCTCTCTTCCGCCATGTTGTCAGCATGAGTGGGACAGAGCCCATGCTAGCATGGGAGAGGCTCTTTTGTTTATTGCATCGGACTCGGCTCCCTGATGGTCCTTGGGGATCACGAAGTCTGGGCGTAACAACACCAGATTCCCTGAGATTCTTCTGGAAACGGAGACTCAGAGGCCCATCTCCTACAGGACTGGCACTTCTCAGGTGACTCTGAGACTGCATTTCCCACTGCCCTGGAATCCATACCTGTGTACATCCTAACCTGTCACACCAATGGCCTGACACTTGGATGTAGGGAAGAGTTGGGACCCCCAACTGGGCTTGCCGGAATGATTCATGTGATTTTCCAAGGAGACCGTGGCTTACGAGAACCGGTTATCCCCATGTGAGGCCCAAACCCTCCTTCCCACTTGAAGAAACGCCCTGGACACACCTGCCCACCTCTTCTTGGTCAGCTGGGACCCCCAGCCTGGTCCCGTAGCAGCAGGTTTGCAGGCTGCTCCCCGGGCACTCGCAGGCTACCTCCTCCCCCACCCCCACCCCCCGGGCTGCTCACCTTGTGGAGCTGGCTCTCCACGCCAGGGCTCAGCATGATGAGGCACACCAGCACCCCCAGGAAGAGGAAGAACGTGAAGATGATGCGGCTGACGGTGGAGTTGCGGGTGGAGGGGCAGCAGCCACACAGGATGCAGGGGGCAGAGCCACAGAGGCAGGAGGCCTGCGGGGAAGGCAGGACAGCACCCTTATCTCCGCCTCCTCTCCCCCTATGGCCGGGCGCGCAGCACCCACCACCGCCCCTCCGATGCCTCCAGATCCGCACGAGCCCGCCGCCTGTGCAACCCCCGCGCCAGTGTGATCCCACGCGACGTCCAAGCCTGAGGGGGGCTGAGGAAACCAAGCTTGGAAGAGGCCGGGTCACACGGTCACACAGTCACACAGCCAGCAAGGAAGAGAACCCAGATTCAAACCTCAGGTGCTGCCGCGGCTTCGGAGAGAGAGAGCTGTGCCACACTGTGTCTTACTTAGGGGGAGGCAGAGGAGTAAACAAATAAATGTTTAAAAATCCAGAAGTCTAGTTCCATCCCTCATTAGCTATGTGGCCTTACACAGCTCATTCAACCCCTCTGAACTGCGGTGTCCTCCTCTACACAGCAGGAATCGGAAGGGCACCTACTCCTCACGATACAAGTTTCCTTTCCTGGTTTCCGTGTCCTCCGTAGGACTTACTATCATCTGCTCAGATTCAGAGTTTACTGATGTTTGCCTGCCTCCCCTGTCCAGCGTGTACGCTCCGCCCCGGCAGGAATGTTTGTCTGTTTTGCTCACTGTGGTGTTCCCAGAAAGCGGAACAGGGCCTGGCACAGGGTAGGAGCTCGGTGACCATCTGGGGAAAGAATGTAGCACCAGACACATGTGAAGACCCAAGGAAACCGCAGGCACGTGGTAAACACCTGCTGAATGCATGGAATGAAGCCCGTGAGCAGCTGGGATTTCCTACTCTGGGGCTGACGGGAATCATTTAGGGGCTGGGAGTGCCACGCCATTCACAGGCGGTGCCCCAAAGAGCCTCAGCCCCCCGGGAGCTGGGTCTGCCTGTCGAGCCTTTGTGAAAGTTTATCTTCCCCCCAACAGCCCAGCTCCTCAGCCAGGTACTTCCGAGGCCAGAAAGGCAGAGTCCCGCCTCGGTGGAGCGTCCAATGACCAACAGATCATCACACCGTGGTGGGGCGTGCTAAGAAGAACATGTGCCCTGACCGGTTTGGCTCAGTGGATAGAGCATCAGCCTTCGGACTGAAGGATCCCAGGTTCAATTCCGATCAAGGGCATGTACCTTGGTTGTGAGCACATCAACCAATAGGAAGTGTGCAGGAGGCAGCTGGATGATGTTTCTAGCTCTCTATCCCTCTTCCTTTCTCTCTATAAAAAAAAACAATAAAATATAGAGAGAGGAAGGGAGAGGGATAGAGAGCTAGAAACATTGATGAGAGAGAAACATCGATCAGCTGCCTCCTGCACACCCCCTACTGGGAATATGCCCACAATCAATGTACATGTCCTTGACCGGAATCGAACCTGGGACCTTTCAGTCTGCAGGCTGACACTCTATCCACTGAGCCAAACCAGTTTCAGCAATAAAATATTTTTTTTAAATAATTTTAAAAAGAAGAAAATGTGCATGCTGCCCTCAGTGACAGATGGGGCCTAGTTTGGTGGGGGTGGCGCGTCTTCTCCCTGAAGAAGTGACCATTTAGCTGAGAGCTGACAAAGGAGAAGAAAGGCCGCTCCAGGGAACAGGGCCCTGGTGGCTCTGGGGCAGGCGGGAGCTGGGCAACGGAGGGACAAAAAGAAGGACCTGTACCCAAAGCTTCGTGTCAGGCAGCGAGCCATGAGTGGTGAGGCCAACGAGGATGGCAGGGCCTGGGCAGCAGTGGGCATCCACTCAGGGTTGGAAGCCAGGAGGGACCGGGACAGCCTGATGCTGAATGACCGGTTTTGTGGGGAACAGGCTAAAAGGGGGCCTTGCTCCTCTGCGACCTGGCACCCTGCTCTCTGGACTGGTCCTGGGCATAAGGCACACTCTGCTTGAAGGGTCTCTGCCTTCCCCTTCCCCCCTCGATCCCCCGCCCCTGACTGGAGCTGCTCCTTCCCACCCAACTCCCACCTGCAAAGCCAGGACGTGAATGCTAAATGAAATGCCTGCGGGGTGGATGCTCCCTCATGTCCAAAGCGTGACAGTTCACTCACCCGCAGCTTGGAGTTGTATCCCGCAGCCCCCACCCCAACCCCGGGCTCCTCTCCATGGCCACCTTTGGGGTTTCAGGTGGCAAGCAAGTGCCAGAAAAATGTTTTGTAAACCAACCACAAGAGCATTCTGGTCATCAGACCAAGCTGACTATTAGTTCCCGTTTACAGATGAGGAAACTGAGCTCAGAGAAGTTAAAAACATGCCCTGGCTGGTCTGGCTCAGTGGAAAGAGTGTCAGTCTGTGGACTCCTGGGTCCCGGGTTCAGTTTTGGTCAAGAATACATGCTCTTGCCAAAGCCGGTTTGGCTCAGTGGATAGAGAGTCGGCCTGCGGACTGAAAGGTCCCAGGTTCAATTCCAGTCAAGGACATGTACCGTGGTTGTGGGCACACCCCCAGTAGGGGTCTGCAAGAGGCAGCTGGTTGATGTTTCTCTCTCATCAATGTTTCTGACTCTATCACTCTCTTTTTCTCTCTGTGAAAAATCAATAAAATATATATTTTTTAAAAACATTTGAGATGTAAGAAAAGGCACCCCAACGCAGTCGGGGAGCCTGGCCTTTCAATTCACTCTGCTTTTTGGAGATCAAAACCCAGGGGTACATGACATCTGACACCTCAGGATTCCCTGAGCCAGCCAGTGGCCAGAGAGACCAGGTCTGGGAGAGAAAAACTCAAGCCAACTGCTCCCCCCCCCCACTTTGCCCCCCATCCAGCCTTGAAACATTCATGCTCTCTGACAGCCCGCCACCTGTGGGCATCTCTCCTACAAGAACCTCTCCCTACAGGAGTGCCAGCCTCGGGAGGAAGGGCAGACGCGCACACCTCCGCACACTCGGAAGTCCACGGGGCGGGGGGGGGGGGACACTCATTCACGCCAGGAAAATAACAGGGGGAAATTGAAAATAAATGCTCAGCAATGCGTCATGGCACTCCCTCAGAGGGCTGTCTCTGCTCAAGGGAGCAGACGGGGAGGTCCTACTCAAATGGGTCCACGTAACTAAATATAATTAAATTATACCTCAATGAGGTTGGTTTTATTATTTAAAAATAAAAATTGTTCATTAAGGGGGCGGGGCCTAAAATAGGCACAAAGCTTTAGACTTTATGGGGTTATTAGAAGCTAGAGAAATTGCAAGTGACCTCACTGCCCAGGGGCCAGTGGTGGCCCATTTACCGCAGGGACGTCATGGGGACAGGAGAGATGAAAGTCACCAGGCGGCAGAGCAGCCCGGGCTAAGGGTTATGATGCAATGGGAGAGGCCCAGGCGACTATAAAACTTCCCCCACGGAGATTACAGCTCCCGCCCCCACCACGCGCGCCCAGGGCAAAGGCGGCAACAGGAAAGCGCTGGGACACAGGCCTGAGCACCAGCCAGGGTCTCTGAGAGGAGAACACGGAGCCCTGGGTCTTGGCGTCTTCCCCTTGGAGGCTGCCTGGCATTCGACCAATCCAGCCTCTGATGCAGAATCCGCAGGGAGGCCGCTGGCTATCCTCTTCCCTGGCAAGGAGCCCCCTGCCTCCCCGGCCAGCTGGACAGCCCGGAGCTGTCCGTGGTTCGGCACGGCGGGAGAGGCTGACGCCGATCCTTCGCATGCTCCTGGCTGTCGCTAGAGCCAGGGACGTAGGTTCTTAGAACCGTTCCTGGGGCACTGGCTGGGGAGAGTAGGTAGCTGAGGGCATGGGGCACAGTTTAAAGCTGTTTTGTTTAGCCAAAACCGGTTTGGCTCAGTGGATAGAGCATCGGTCTGCGGACTGACAGGTCCCAGGTTCAATTCCAGTCAAGGGCATGTACCTTGGTTGTAGGCACATCCCTGGTGGGAGGTGTGCAGGAGGCAGCTGGCTGATGTTTCTCTCTCATCGATGTTTCTAGCTCTCTATCCCTCTCCCTTCCTCTCTGTAAAAAAATCAATAAAATATATTTTTAAATAAATAAATAAAGCTGTTTCGTTTAAAACAAACTGGCCCCCCACTTCTGGGTGTTATTCGAAGAGCTGAGAGCAGGGACTCGGACAGATACCTGTACACACACCCATGTGCCCAGCAGCATTGCTCACAACAGCAAAAGGCGGAAGCAGGCCGTCGACTGTTGACACACACAGTGGAACATTAGTCAGCCTTAGAAAGGAATCGCATTCTCATACATGTTTCAACACGGACGAACCTTAAGGACATTGAGCTACGTCAAGTAAGCCGATCACAAAAATATAAACACACAGGATCCCACTCATAGGAGGTACCTAGAGAAGGCAAATGCACAGGGACAGGAAGTAGGATGGTGCTTACCGGGAACTGGGGGGTAGGGGAGAGGAATTACTGTTTAAAGGGTCAGGAGTTTCAGTTCGGGTGAAGATGAGAAAGTTCTGGAGATGGATGGTGGTGATGCTTGCACAACGTGAAAGGTACTCAATGTCACTGAACTGTACACTTAAAATGGCACAAACAGTACATTTCACCTTATGTATATATCCTATAAATAAAAAGTTTTTTTAAAAAGGAGGGGACCGAGAGGTGTCAAGGAACAGTAGTAAGCTAGCCAAGTGAGGGAGGAGAGGGTATTCCTATACAGAGCATAACATGTGCAAAGCTAAGAGGAACACTGTGTTTTCGGGGTAGCTGGGCAATAACATGGTGTAGAAGTGATGGCCAGGCCCCGCAGGCCATGCCCAGGAGTCTGAGCTGTAACCTGCAGGCGAAGGGGAACCATTGCTAAAGAATAGATCATCATCAGATTTGCTTTTTAGTTTTGGGGTTTGTAATATTGTTAATCTTCACCTGAGGATATTTTTCCTTTGATTTTTAGAAATAGCGGAAGAGAGGGAAAGAAACAGAGAGAGACATGGATTGGTTGCCTCCTGCCTGTGACCCAACCAGGGCCAGGGATTGAGCCTGCAATCCAGATAGATGCACTTGGCCTTGGGAATCGAACCCAGGACCCTTTGTCCACGGGTCAACTCGATATCCACTGAGCCAAGCTGGCTGGGGCCAGGTTTGCACTTTAGAGCTGTCACTTGGCCCCAGAATGGAAGGCAGATCAAGGGAGTGGAGTGCAGTGTCTCTGGGAACAGACAGGGAGAGTCAGGGAACAATAATGCAGAGAACTGAGACCAAGGAAAAGTCAGACTCTGGAATTCATTGTGTGCGTTAGCCAATAATATTTACTCCTGACAGTACCACTCACTGATTCGTCAGGGTTGTATTTAACAAATGCCCATTTTAATGCCGTGTTTCTTTTTAAAAATATATTTTTTATTGATTTTTTTAGAGAGGAAGGGAGAGAGAGAGTTAGAAACATAGGTGAGAGAGAAACATCAATCAGCTCCCTCCTGCACACCTCCTACTGGGGATGTGCCCACAACCAAGGTACATGCCCTTGACCTGGGTAGAACCTGGGACCCTTGAATCTGCAGGCCGACACTCTATCTACTGAGCCAAACCGTTAGGGCCTTACCATGTTTCTTAAAATAAATGACAAGTTCCTTGAAGACTAAAACACTATTAAATAGTAAAATGTACATCATCTTAATTTTATCATAATTAAATAAACTTTAGAGATGTGAATGAGCCAGCCTAGAACTAGACAGAACATAGGGAGAAGAGGTCAGCCCCAAGCTACTCAAGTACAATTACTCCCCTCCCCACCCCTCTCATCCCACCCCCACCCCTCACCCCCTACACCCCCCCCAAGTGCTGAGAATAGAGAGCTCTGCCACCAACTTGCAGCATGACCTTAGACCAGTCTCTTTCCCCCTCCATGGGACTCAGTTCTTCATTCATACAATGGGCTCCTGGGCAGGATGGGCAAGAGGCTCAGAGCCCAGGCCCTATGGTCAGGCAGCCCCGGGTTCTACCGGCCTCACGACTTCCTTGAATGTGGTCTAAAGCAAGTTACCACCCTGGGGTGTTTACAGAGTGGCCGCTACAACAAGCGAGCTTCATGCTAAAGACGTTGCCTGTTTATCTCAGCCAATGTAATACTCCCAAAGTGCCTAGAGGCAGGTACCATTGTCCTCCCACTTCACCAACAAGGGGAGAGAGGAAGTGACTGCCCACAGTCCAGTAGCTGAGAAGGGGCCAAACCAGGATCTCAGTCCAACCAGTCTGACCCCAAGGCCTTTCACACGCCCTCGCACAGAGAAGGCGCTCCCTAAACACATATTTGCTCACCATCCATCCATCGTGCACTGGCTTGCCTGATTCCCACCCTCTGTGGGCCCATCTCACTCCTGCAGGCCAGGGCTCAGCTCCAGCCGAGAGAACCGTGATGGGCAGCTGCAATGCCTCACCTCACGATGGAGGGTAGAGAAGTCTTCCCCACCAACCCGTTCCCGCTAAGGATGCCTGAAAACCCCCCGAGGTCACTCCGGAGGAGCAAATCTCCATTGAAACAGGTTGTTGCTGGTTCCAGGGGTAACCAACTGCACAGTAATACGTGTGGCACAACAGACACAGCGTAAACTTCACTATTTTAATCCTTTTTGTCTTCAGCGAGCTGGTAATTTGCCTTAAGAATCAAGATAGTCCAAACTGGTTTGGCTCAGTGGATAGAGCATCGCCCTGCAGACTGAAGGGTCCCGGGTTCAATTCCGGTCAAGGGCATGTATCTTGGTTGCAGCCACATCCCCAGTAGGGGGTGTGCAAGAGGCAGCTGATCGATGATTCTCTCTCATCAGTGTTTCTAACTCTCTATCCCTCTCCCTTTCTCGTTGTAAAAAAAAATCAAAATATATTTTAGAAAAAAAGAGGGGGGGGAAAATCAGGATAGATATTGAAATGGATATCTCACAAATATAACCCTAATGATGTTGATCAATGAGTGGTATTGTGAGAAGGAATAAATATTGGCTGAAGAACACAATGAGAATTCTAGAACCTGCCTTTTCCTGGGTATCAGTTCTCTGGATTCATCTTCCCTCTCTGACCCAGTTTCCCCATCTGTGAAGTGAGAATGATATGAACAGCCTCAGGGATCACTGTGAGCATTACATGGAAGGATGTGGACCAGCCCTGGCTGGTGGGGCTCCGTTGGTTGGAGGGTCATCCCACACACCACAAGGGTCTCGGCTCCATTCCCAGTCAGGGCACATAGCTAGGTTGCAGATTTGATCCCTGGGCAGGGCAGGTAGGGGAGGCAACCTATCCTGACACAGAATGTTTCTATCTCTCCTTCCTTCTCTCTAAAATCAATAAAAGACGGAAAAGATTGAAAGAATGAAAAAACGAAAGGATATATATCAAATGCTCTGCTGAAACTGGTTTGGCTCAGTGGATAGAGTGTCGGCCTGCGGACTGAAAGGTCCCAGGGCATGTACCTTGGTTGTGGGGATAGGAGGTGTGCAAGAGGCAGCTGATCGATGATTCTCTCTCATCAATGTTTCTAGCTCTCTATCCCTCTTTCTTCAGCTCTGTAAAAAAAAATCAATAAAATATATTTTTTAAATAAAATAAAATAAATCAAGTGCTCACTACAGTGCCACCACCGGACAGCTCTGGGCAGTGAGTGCTGGGCCTAGGATAAGATGTGGTAATGGTAGCTGCTGTTGGCATCTTTATTTGTAAAACAGGATAACTACCCTGTTTCCCCAAAAATAAGACAGTGTTTTATATTAATTTTTTTCTCCCAAAGTTGCACTAGGTCTTATTTTCAGGGGATATCTTATCTTTCCATGCGCTAGGTCTTATTTTCGGAGGATGTCTTATTTTCGGGGAAACACGGTATGTCACAGGGCTGAGGGGGAAGTAAAATGAGCGAGGAGCACAGCACAGTGCCTGGCACGCAGTAGGTGTGCAGCCAATGTCAGAGGTCAGAACCCCCGTAGGAGTCACAGAAAGGAGGCTCCTTGCAGGTTTGTGATGGTCACTAAGTGAAGCTCTCTGTTCTACCTGGCAGCCCTGTCGCTCAGGCAGCTAGGACAGGAGAAGTCTGGATGACAAATCAGACTTTAATCCTCCCCATCCTTTCGCTGTGTAACCTCAGGCAAGTCAGCGGGCCCCCAGAGGAGCCTGTCAGGTGCCTCTGGTCTCAGCAGTAGAATTCCATGACTCAGGACCAGCACTGGGCTCCAGAGGAAATCTCCACCCACCTTTCCCAGAAGATAGTAACCGGAGCTCCCATTCTGAGCTCGCTCGAAATGCCAGGATTGGGCGGGGCACGTTTTAATCTTTCCAAGGGCCTGGCCCGTAGGAGAGAAAGGCACAGGAGACTGGCAGGTCTCCCCTCCACATCCCCTACCCCCAGCCAGATGGAAACCTGGTCAGCTCCTAGGAAACTCTCCCTCCCCCATCAGGAAGCAAACTCTTCCTGGCCAGAGACCCGGCCCAAACCTTGATTTCATCAGAGGGGAGGGATGTCAGGGAGCAGCTCTGGATTCCTCCTCCTGTGTGTGCACAGGCACGCACTTCACAGATGGGGAAACGGAGGCCCAGAGAGGACAAGAGACTGTCCAGGGACCCACTCTACAGCTATCATTCTAAAAAAAAAAAAAAAAATTGCCATAAAGTAAATCTCTACATCCTCCAGCTCCTGCCCCTACACCCCCATCTTAACACACACACATGCACGCACGAACACACACACACACACACACACACACACACCAGGGACAAAGGAAAGCGAGTCCTGAAATTCAGCAGCCACCAGACCCCCTCGACCCCCCTATTCCTCTCTGCTCCTCTTTGTGTCGGGCAGAGGGGGAGGGGAACGCCTGAATGAACCTCGGATTTAATGAGGGGAACAGGAAAAGAGGAGGGAGCTAGGAGAAGGGAAAAGAGCAGGGGCCTCTCGGCTGGGGTCTGGCTGAAGCTCCTCCCTTTTGCTGGCTGCAGCCCCAAAAATGAGGCGGGCTGGCCCCCAGGTCCCTGAGCCCAGGCGACCAGGTCCTCCTCCCCTCCTCTTCCCCCCCCCCCTCCCGCCCTCCCCACACACACACCCTAACCTCCCTCAGTTCTTGGGTCTTCTCGCCCAGAGCTGGGCCCGGGGAGGCAGCCCTCGCGGACTCAGCCGGGATTTGGGGAAGGCAGGCAGGGGCTTCCTGCCCGCTCCCCGTCCCGCTCTGGGGCCCAGCGGGGAGGCTCTGGACGCCTTGGAGAAGGGCCAGGAGTTGGCCTGAGCCGGACTGAATGCTCAGAGACCAGGGCGCATCGGGCAGGCGGACGGACAGGCGGACCGACTCCGAACTGTAGACAATGACAGATGGAGAAGCCACCGACGGACAAAGACAGTCGGACCAACGCACGGACGGAGACGAATAGCAGATAAACACTAATGAACAAACGGAGAGCGGCGGGCAGGGGCAGACAGACTGCGGGAGAGACCGAGGACCCGGGACAGAGAGGACCCGGGGCAGAGGGGGCCAGGGGCCGGGCAGGGCGCACAAAGAGTCCGAGCGTCCGGGAGGCAGACCCCCAAACGCGCGCCTGGAGGACGTCCCCCAAGTCCAAGTCCGGCGCGGAGGGGCCGCCACCCCCACCCCCAGGCCCACCCAGGCCCCGAGCCTCAGTCTCCCAGCCCCAGCCTCAGTCTCCCCGGTCCCGGGAGGCGCCGCGGAGAGCGCGCCCCTCCCCCGCCCGGCGCCCCACCCTCCCCTCCCCCGCGGTAACCCGAGGCCCGGGCGCAGCTGTCCCGGTCGCCCGGGGCCAGGGCTGGGGTGGGAGCGGGTAGGGAAACCGAGGGCCAGAGGGGCCCGGGCGCAGAGGCGGGTGCGGACCCAGAGAGACAAGTTCGGAGGAAGGAGAGGAAGAAACTGCGGGAAGAAAACAGCACAAAGTGGCGGGCGCGCGGCGGGCGCCGGGGGGACTCACGCAGCTGAGCAGCGAGCAGGCGCCCAGGCAGGCGCCCATGGCGGCGGTGGCGGGGCGCGGGGCCCGAGGGTGCGGAGGGGCCGGAGGGGCGCGGGATCCGGTCCGGCTCCGGGTGCCCGGCCTGGCCCCGCCCCGGGCCCGATGGCCCCGCCCCGCCCCGCCCCACCTGGCAGGGCGGCCGGGAAGGCGCTCCGGTGCGCGCCCGCCTCCCTCCAGGGAGGGACTCACCTGGGCAGGTGCGCCCGGCGGAACCCGGGGAAAGGTGGTGGGGCGGTGCCTCCCGCGGCAGCGCGGGCCGGGCCACCGACCCGACTTCGCTCGTGTCCTGGTCCCAAGTGCGAGTTTAGAGATACTGAGGCCTGGGTTTAAACCCTTGAGCCCTGGCCTCCTGCAGAGCGCCTTGGAGAAGGCGCTGGCCTGGCCTCCTGCAGGGGTCAGAGGCCAAGAGGGGCTCACCCCTGATTCGCAGAGCCTCTCAGCCCAATACATAGGTGTGGAAGGGTGAGTGATCGGATGCAGTGTTTCCCAAACTTCTCTCATGATGAGAATCACCTGGTGAAGTTGTTAAACTACAGATTCCTGATAGCACTTCTTAGTTGGGATTCAATCAGATGTTCCGTCCGGCCCTATCACTTCTTAGTTGGGATTCAGGAATCTGTATTTTAACAACTCCAGCAGGTGATTCTCATCATGCGAGAAGTTTGGGAAACACTGGAGAGAAACAGACAAGTCACGTCACCTGTGGGAGCCTCACTTCCTCCATCTGTGACGTTAGAGTACCTACCTCAGCTGTTAGATGCTTGACAGATGGGAGCTCCCTGATTCATCTAAGACCCTGGGCTTGCACCCTGTCAACTGCCTTCGCCCTAGCCACCCGGCCCTCAGTCTCTACTGAGTCCTTGTCGCCACCCGCCAGCATGCCCCCAGAGCCACCTGTTGAGCGGCTCAGCCCTCCGAAAGATACCCAGACCCTGGCCCCCAGCTAAAGAGGTCAGAGGGGGGAGGGGGGTCACATTCCTGGCAGATGGTCCAGTCCCAAAGGGGTAGGTGGAAGGGACGCAGAAATCGGCTCTGAATTCACCTCTCCTCACTCAACCCTAGACAGGATCCTGTTAGAAAAGGAAATCTAGACCCTGCACAGATGGCCCCAGGGCTAGTGATCCCGCCCGACTGCATCCCTGGGTGATTCACATGCCAGGCTTCGCCAGTCACAGTGCCAGGGCCCCACCAACATTCCCTGTACTTTCCCTCCTCCATGCTGGCGCCCACGCCATGTCCTTCTCTGTGAACGTTCTCTCCCTCCTGACCCCAATACCCACCCTCTGAAGCCTCTTTCACATCCTTATCTTCTCTGTGAAGAGAACACACCCCTCCCCCCCCCCAACCTCTACTGGTCCGTGAGGAATGAATGATCCAACCTCCCTGAGTTTCTACCACGGGAGCCTCTGTGCTGGCCTCACCAACAACGCGAGTTACCACAGAGCTGGAAGCTCTTTGGCCTACATGGTCCCATTCAAGCCCCAGATAACCCTGGAAGCAGATTCATCCCTCACCTCACCCCCATTTACAGAGAGAGGTCACTGAGCCTCAGAGAAGGCCAGCGGCGTGCCTCCGTGCAGACTGAGCGCTAGGCAAACATGGCCCGGGACACGGGGTGGTTGTTACTGTGGCTCCAGGTCACACGGCTCGGAGGGCAGAGCTGGAAGACCACCTGGCCTGGCCTTGACCTCAAACCCAGGGCCTGGCCCTGACACCTCGCTGCCTGGCTTGGAAAGTGGGGGTGGCAATACCCAGTCCACCTTTTTTTTTGGTCCAGTCATACGTTCCATCCGGCCCTAGTCCGGGGTCCTTAGGAGACGCTGAGCTGCCCGGGGCCTGTCTGATTCACCTGTGACAGGACGGCAGTAAATGCCTTCTGGATGAATGGCTGTCTGAACGTTTAACACAAGCCCAGTTTCCTCGTTCCTCTGTGACTGACTGACCCCAAAACAGCCTGTACACGGTCCCCTTCCACCCAGCAGCCTTCGGCCCCCAGAATGCCACGGCCTTGCACCGAGTCAGCTCCTTTTGACACTTGTGCCCCGAGGGCCGAATTTCCATGCCTCAGCCCTTGCCCCGCTCCCGCCCCCGTGAGCTGGTCCAGCAGAAAGATCCAGCAGAGCAACGCCAGGGACTCTTGCCCCTCACAGCCTCTCACACACTCTGCTGGGGGCCCCTGCGCCTCTCTATCCCTCCATCCCGCCCCTGAAAGGGGGCTGGTTATTCTGCTTAACCTCACAGAGCCGCTGTGAGCATTGAGAAAGCATTCAGAGAGATGGGCAGGTATCTGAGAGGAGAGAGGGGTAGCTGGACTGCAAGTGTAAAGAAGAAAGCTCCGCCCAAATTGGTTTGGCTCAGTGAATAGAGTGTCGGCCCTCGGACTGAAAGGTCCCAGGTTCGGTTCCGGTCAAGGGCATGTACCTTGGTTGCGGGCACATCCCAGTAGGGGGTGTGCAGGAGGCAGCTGATCGATGATTCTCTCTCATCGATGTTTCTAAGTCTCTATCCCTCTCCCTTCCTCTCTGTAAAAATCAATAAAATACATTTAAAAATAAATAAATAAATAAATAAATAAATAAACATAATTTAAAGAAGAAGAAGAACAACAACAACAAAAGGGCGATGGGCTGCCATTGTCCTGGGTCACCCTGCCCAGACCGAGGTGACGTGGGCTCTCCCGTCCCCTCACCCTGCATCACCCTGCGTGGAGGGGCCAGCCCTCCCTGCAGATACTCACTGTGTAGTCTTGTCCTGGTGCCTCATCCTCAGGCAGCCTCATACTTCTCATCTGTAAAAGGGAGACAATCGTTGTGGCTGCCGGTATCTCTAAGGGGACTTTCGAGGAGATGAAACGGGGAGGCAGAGAAAGAAGCTTCGTTTCTCTATGTCCTGACCAGCCTGGCTCCCAGCCTTGACCCTCCTGCATGAGGCCAGCATCACTGTCTCTCACGCCGCCAAAGGCAAGAGCACGGTCAGTGCTGTGTGTTCCTGAGAAGCCACTCAACCTCTCTGAGCCTCACGGAGGCTGAGGCTCGGGGCCACCACAGCAGCCGCGCACTGCCATGCTGACGGTGTCCACGCGAGAAACAGGCAGTGGTCCCTCAGTGCACCCCCTGTGCCTGTCCCCCAGCCCGGACAGACGCTCAGCTCTCTGGCACCCAACGGAAGCAGCCCTGGCTTCTCCAGCCAGTCGCTCCAAGCTGCTCTCATTGAGCCTCAGTTTCCAAATCTGAAATATAGGCACAAGCCCCTGCTCAAGTCCCCAAGTGACCCCCAATAACTCATATTGCCCCATCCCTTCTCACCATCCTCCCGTCCATGGGGACTCAGATGCACTCTGGCTTCGAGCCGCCTGTCCCAGGGCCTCACTCTCTGCACTGGCCTCCACTTCCCGCTTCTGAGGCATTTACAGAGCAGGGCTGAGATTATCCCTTATGAATATGCATGTGGGATAATGAGGGCTTGGGATTGGGGGAGCACCTGGGAGAGGCGTCCCCAGAGCACCATCCACTCCCACTGGCTCTCTCCATACACAGTCCCCACCAAGTCTGCCCGCCCTCCCAAAGGGTGCATGGGAGTTCAGGGCAAAGAATACCCACAGCAACCGTTGTTACGTGCTCACAACCTGCAGGCATTCTGCTGAGAGCATCTCCTGTAAGTGCTTCTAAGGTGGGAACTATTCTCCCCATGGAATGGGGAAGAGAACTGAGGCTCCATGCAGTGGAGTAACTCACACATACATCACCTGTGGAGGGTGCACAGTGGCTGCGTGCAGAGCGGGGATGGACACAGGTGCTGTCAGACTCTGGTGCTCTGAACCCCTGCTGCCCAGGCTCGCCTGGAGCCCTGGGCACATGGTCATGGGGCCACCCCTGGACCTCACACTGCAGCAGAGGAGCTCACCGTGGTCTTAGGCGACCAAGGCTTTGGGAAAGGACCTGGGTCCTGGAATTCACTTCATCTCCAGAGAAGGAGACAGGTAGACAGGTGTGTGCAAACACTGCGTGTTCCCACGTGTGCGAACACACAGCTGATGCCTGTGGGTGCATGGGTGCGCAATGGATGTAAGCATGTGTGACAGGTGTCCTGAGGATGCCTGGTACATGCACTGTTGTGCTGCTTTGTTCCTGTTACAATCAACACTCAGCGAGGCCCCTGTGAGCCAGGTGCTGGGGATGTGGTGGGAACGAGGCCAACGCAGTCTGTGCCCTCCTGAGCGGCAGTTTGGTGGCTTCCTGGCCACACGCGGTTGACACTCTGCACGGAATCTCTGTGGGAGGTTGTCTTGGTGGGATGTGCCGGGAGGTGAGGAGACTGTGGTGGACTTTTTTTTTAAAGGTGGGGCAGGTGGGGTAGGGAGTTGCAGGGGAGCCCCTGACGCTTGGCCAGAAATGGGGGGTGCAGAGTAAGTCAGGGCCTGGCACGGGCTCCACGGGGGTCACAGGTCTGAGAATTCTAAGAGGACTTTGGGTGCTTTCCTCACAGGCATCAAGGGTCTGCTGTGAGTGCACATGTGTGCACTGTGTGTGTGTGTGTGTGTGTGTGTGTGTGTGTGTAACTCTACACATGTGTGCCGAGTGATTAGGTGTGGTGTTTGCATATGTGGATATGTGTGTGGAATGGAGATGTGTAAATGGGTGAGTCATTGTGTGTGCATATGGGTTTTTGCATGTACGTGTGTATGTGGGGGGTGGGGGGTCTTGTTACTGTAGGGGAGAAGGTTGAGAGAAGAGAGTGTCATTTGGCCCAGGCCTTATACATTCATAAGCCTAAAAAATGTATAAAAAAACAAGATGGAGGTCTGCGTGGCTCAGTGGTTGAGCCTCAACCTATGAACCAGGATGATAAGATTCAATTCCTGGTCAGGGCACATGCCCAGGTTGCAGGCTTGATCCCCAGTGGGGGGCGTGGAGGGGCATGCAGGAGGCAACCGATTAATCATTCTCTCTCTCCATCATTGATGTGTCTATCTCTCCCTCTCCCTTCCTCTCTGAAATAAATAAAAATATATTTTTTTTTAATGAGATGGTTGAATGGAGGGATAGATTGATGAATAGATGGGTGGATAGATCTGGATTGATTGATGGATAAAAGGAAAGAAGGACCGATAGAGGGATGGATAT